GACGCCCAGATGGGCCCCGACGCCCAGACGGCCTCTGGCGCCCAGACGGCCCCCGACACCCGGACGGGCCCCAACACCCGGAAGGGCCCCGACATCCAGATGGGCCCCAGGCCCCTGACATCCAGATGGGCCCCAGACACCCAGACAGGCCCTGACACCCGGACGGGCCCCCGACACCTGGACAGGCATCTTTCAGAGGGCAGGGGAAAGACCACCCCCGAGGCAGCCAGACCCGGCCAGGTGCCCCAGAGCGCCCCCTCGGAGCCGCTCCGGGGAGCTTCTCAGGCAGAAAGAGGAGGCCCGCCGAGCCCCCGCAGCTCACACGCATGATGCGCAGAAGGGGGTGGCCGAGCCCGCCTCCGGCCCTCGAGGGGCCAGCCCACGCGGATGTGCGCGGGAGGCGGCCTCCGGGCTGCTGCCCACAGACCTGCCCGATGCCGGGAAGCGGCAGCAGCTGGGGGCCGCGGAGAGCAATGAAGAGGCCGGAAACTGAAACAAGGGGTGAGAGAACGGCCCGAGCGGGCACTGCTCCCCTCCTCCGCTCAGCATCAGAGGCTGGGCTCGCCAAGGGCCGTCGCCTGCGCATTGGGGCCGGGGTGCGCAGGACACCCCGCGGGCAGTGACCCCACAGGGAGGGCCAGGCAATGCAGCGGCCTGTTCCTGGCATCCTGGACGCTGCTGCCGTGGGCCGAGTCCGCAATGGGCTGTCGGGAGTGCCGGGCCGCGCCACGCCGCGCCACGCCGGCTCCCCTAGCGACGCCTCCGCGTTTCCCGCGGGAGGCTGCCACGTCCCAGCACGGCCCCCGCTGTCACCAGCACTGCCAGTGGCGCCCAGGCCATGCCAGGGCCCCCACACCACATGACCAGGCCCTGCCATGCCAGGCGCCAGTCCTGGGGAGAGGCGGGGAGACCTGTGCGCCGGGCGCCCCAACACGGCACGTCCTCGACTCCTGCAGCAGCCGCAGGAGGCGCGCGGGACCCACCTGCGTCACGGGCTCAGCGCCAGCATCTTGGGCGGGCGGCAGCGGCCACGCGGTAGCCACAGCTGACCCCCGCTGCGTGGTCCCTGTCGGAAGTACAGACATCCTCTGGCGATCAGGAAGACGGTGACCGCTCGCCACTGCCGCTGGGCGGTGAGCTGGAGCCCAGCCGGGGCCATCGGGGACACCTCGCAGTGGCGCCGTTAGGACTGAACCGAGCAACGTGCGTGTTGGGGGCAACAGCGGCCGGCCAGGGAGGTCGGAGCCGGCCAGCCACGCCCAGGCCCGCGGCGCCGCTCCAGGCCCAGCCGAGCTCGCGCACAGGGAGGCCCGAGGCTGCGGGGGAGGGTCTCCCACCTGCCGCTTTGAGTCCGGGCTCCAGACCCCTTGTCTGGCTCCAGCTGGGCCTTAGTACCCAGAGCAGCTCCGGGTGTGAGAGACACAAGTGCGTGGTGAGTCCACGAGGCGCAGGGCATCAGGCCGAAGCCGCATCAGCTGGGACACCGGGCCCAACTGGCGGCAGCTGCCCCAGCGCACGCACCCACAGACGGCGGTCGGAGCCGCCCGGGCGCCGCAGGCCCCGCAGGTGGGGAAGTGCAGGCAGAACCCCGTGGCCAAAACACTCAGGAGGACACGGAGCAGAAGCGAGGCCCGTCCTCCGGAAGCCACGGAGCATCGCGAGGGGAAGTCCGGCCCGAGGCCCCCGTCCGTGGCGGGGGTCAGCGCCCGAGATGGCGACTCTCCCCAGGCGGATGTATCCACGGCCGCCGGCCCCCTGCAGGGCCTCCGATAGGCCGAGCGGCAGCCGCAAGCAGGAACCGTGGCCCCACCCGGACAACAGCCTGGGCTGCGGCGGCTCGGGGACGGCCACACGCCCCCCTCACAGAGCTGGACGGCGGCCCTGAGTGGACGCCCCGGGAAGCGGGTCAGGTGGTCGCCAGCCGACAGAGAGGCTCAGCTCGGCGACACCCTGCGCGGCATCCGGAGACGGGGGGGCCCTGCGGCCTTCCCCGCGGCCACGCCGTCTCAGCACCGTCACCCCGGAACCGTGGGGTGGCACAGCGGTCAGCGCAGAAAACGGCAGGACACATGTAGGGCGGTGGCCGGGCGGGTGTCCTCAGGCCTGACGTGAGATATGTGCTCACGTGGGTGGTCGGGCTTTGCTGTGCTCTGGGGGGCTCTGGGGGACCTCAGGGACTCGGGGGGGTCTGGGGAGGCACTGAGGGGGGTCTGGGGAGGCCCTGAGGGGACCCTGGGAGGGCCCTGAGGGGGATCTGGGAGGCCCTGAGGGGGCTCTGGGGGGCCTCAGGGGGTCTGGGGAGGGTCTCAGGGGCCCTGGGGAGGTCCTGAGGGGACTCTGGGGGGGTCTGGGGAGGCCCTGAGGGGGTTTTGGGGGGTCCAGGAAAGCCCTGAGGGGACCCTGGGGAGCCCCTCAGGGGGCTTTGGGGAGGCCCTGGGGGCGTCTAAGGAGGCCCTAAGGGGACTCTGGGGGAGCCCTGAGGGGACTCTGGGGAGGCCCTGAGGGGACTCTTGGGGGGGCCATGAGGAGGCCTTGAGGGGACTCTGGGGAGTCTGGGGAGGCCCTGAGGGGGCTTTGGGGAGGCCCTGGGGAATCCCTGAGGGGACTCTGGGGGGTCCAGAGGAGGTCCTGAGGGGACTCTGGGGAGGCCCTGAAAGGACTTTGCGGGGTCTGGGAAGGCCCTGAGGGGGCTTTGGGGGGGCCGAGGGTTTCTGGGGGGGCTCTGGGAAGGCTCGCAGCAGCTGGGGATTGTTGCAGCCAGGCAGAGGCCGGCTGATCCGGGATCCGCAGACCCAGAGCTCAGCCAGACACCAGACACCAGTCCAGCGGGAAAAGGACAAGCACGTCTCTCCCCGATGTGCGGGGCCCACGCCGGGGGCC